ATATAAAAGTGATCTCTCCCAGCGCCAACAGCCATTTTTCAAGAATTCGGGGGTGAAGAGACTTAGATTTAATCGAAAGCTAAATCCTTTACACGAGTGTGTCCATATCCAAAGAACAACAATGCAAACGCATGCTCACCCCATCCCTAATATTGCATTTGTCTAGGAGAGGGTGGCAGCGTGGGTTGGTGGTGGTGTGGTGGTGGTATCTTTGGCGTCGGTGGTTGCTAAATGCAATTTATCATAAAAAGCAAAAAAGATAGAAGCTTGAAATTGAAGCAGACGACCCCTTCGAGGAAATGGGTGGAGTAAGAGTCAAAGTTCCTTGGGAAAAGAGGGGGAATGGAATGGCGAGGGTAAACATGGCACACATAAAAACACCCACACACAGCTCATCTAATAAGACGCATTTAGCGTCTGTCAGTCTCGAGTGTGGAACGGAGGGCATCTAAGGAAAAAGTAAATAGGGAAAAGTTATGGAGCTGTAATAAATTGGATTAGTTCGAGAAGCGACGCCATTTTGTCTTCCACGCTGAAATTTAAAAGCACACATATAAAGCAGGACGAAGGGAAAAGAACTTAACTACACATTTTGCAGGCCGCACGCTGTTTTTTCATTTGGAAGGGATTAGCAGGGACTTCAGGGGTACTGCGAGGGGAAAATAACAAAAGTGCGGGAGGCGAAGAGCTCTCGAGAGCGCTACTTTTCCTGAAGTACGGACTGAGGCACCGTCATCTATATGGCTGTAGGCTACGTGCCAAATCAAAATCAGATTCCCATTATTTTCCCTTCAACTTGCTCGAATTGCACTTTAATTTGCATATGAAAGCGATTCATTTTTTTCTTTGTCCTGCCTAATATTTGGCACCTTTCCTTTTTTGTTTGGTAAATGATTCAATTCTACGTTTTCCCTTTCAGATTGTCTGTCATGTGAACCCCGTTTCCCTCTAGCAGCATCCGTCCTTAGCTTTTCAATTTCCCCGCCTCATCAATTGGATTTATAAATGCAAATTTTTCACCGCTATTCAATCCTATCCACGCCGATGATACTTTTTTGTTTGATGCAGCTGCCTTCCAACGAGATGCTATTTTTGTATAATCATTAGTTTTATAAGATTCTTATTGAGCTTATATAATAAAACGAATATACAAAACGAACTTTTAGCCATTAAATTTATTATTCACGAAAAAATAGAAAACAAGAGAGAACGCTATAGTCGGGTTGGTGTCCCGACTATCTAATACCCGTCACTCTGCTAAAGGGAGAGCGAGGGAGACAGACACATTTTAAAATAATTAGTGGGCGATTGTGGGCGTTAGAGGGGGCGTGGCGCTCGGCTGAAATAAACTTGCGCTGTGTAGGAAGCCCAAGCATATGTGTGGGAAATCTCAACCTTCTAGCTTTTGTAGTTTCAAAATCTCAGCGTTCATACGGACGGACAGACGGACATGGCTATATCGACTCGGCTAGTGACCCTAATCACCTTCTCCCTGCTACATACTTTTGCACGAATACAATATATATCCTTTTACTCTACGAGTAACGGGTATAACTAGAGTTCTCAGACTATGAGATACTATTTAGCTGTAACACGGTAGCTGTTCATCATTCCGATGGCTTTCGAAATGGTGATGCAAAACGCTTTCCAATGTACTAATAATAACTCGGACCATCGGATTACTATTTTAGTCCCAGCTGCCTATTTTATTTTATACCCTGAAAAGTAAAGAGATGTCAAAATTTGTATTTGTAATTTATAAAACAAGTATAATTTACAGTCCGCAAGCTGTAGTATAATTTTTTCAATATTTCCAGCATTTCCTAGGCCATACCTAACATTAATACCCATTGTGGATCAACTTTCTCCCTCTAAGACTTTTCTTATGCTGGCAAATTTAATTTTCAACTCGGTCAAAGAAAACAGAAACCTCGTGTAACAGCTATATTACTTATCCTCTATCCCATTTTTGCCCGCTGGCCCTTAATTTATTTAACTACCGAGCTTCTAAGACCGCTCTTACCCCACATATCAAAGCTTCGTTTGCCACCAAATGGATTTCATTTTGAAATCCAATAACTGCCAAAAGGAAACATTTTCTAGCCAGGACAACCCTTTTAGTCACTATCTACTTGTGGCAGCGTGGTGTATATATCGTAAAATGAAACATTTTCGGAGTACATAATGTAGGAAGCTGTGTGTGCGTGTGTAAGTAGTCGTATACAGACACAGTGTATTTCGCACTTTACGCAATTTTTCCCCGCCAGCGCGAAAAGGGTTGAAAGTGCGTATGGACATGGAAGGACAAACACCCCAACAACAAGCACACGCTCTGCGGCGTTGCCAGATTGTCATCACAGGCATCTCTCCTTCATCGCTGCTAGCATCATCATCGCCTCGTCCTGAAACCCCTTTCCCTGACGGACTTCATTCCGTGTTGGCGGCCATTATTATTTTACTTTGCAGCTCTTTTACTTATTTCGGACCCCCTCACTCATCCTGGCTTCTCCGTCGTTTTCCTCGACGGTTTCGTAATTTTCTTAAAAATATTTTGGCAGTAAACTTTCTAGATTTAAGCCCTTCCCGGCAGCTCTGTACCCCTCTCAGCCTCCCGGCAAACCATTCCCGAGGTTTTGTGGTTTGCACGGCTTTACGTCGGCTCCCAGTGAACTCTTTCACAGCCCCACCCACTTCCTCCTTCGCCCCTTAACAACGACCAGGGAACTTGCGTTTTAATCTCATTTTATGAAATGAAAATTTTTCAATTTTTCGACAAGAGATAAACTTTTTCTACTTGAATGCGTAATTACTCGTCTTTCAAATGAAAATGCTGTGAATTTTCTTCGGGTTCTTTGCTGACTTTTGTTGGTCACCATTGCCGCTGGTGATGCGAAGCTGCCTCCCCTGCTGCGGTAAGCTTCGCTGTTGCCACTGTATCCGTTAGCGTTGATTTCCATAATGGCGGACGATAGAAGCATAACTGTTAAGATTATTAAAACGAGCTGAAGTACAGGCTGACTTATGATGTGGTCAGCTGAGCCGCTCATTATCAGCGTTGATAAAAGAGCTCATTGGGGATAGGGGAAGAAAAACAGTAGGTTCTATACGTCGGCTTTAAAAGCATAGTTTATGATATGGTATACAAAAATGAGCGATATTGACGTATGTTATACGGTCATATAAATATTTTAAAATTAAAAGAGGTTTTAATAATAATAAGTTTTTTTGAGGTATCATTTAATTCATCATATTAATTGTATTGTAATTGTAAAAATTATGTTAAAATAATTATCAGAGGTGTCAGAGAAACCTTATCGAATCAATTTAAAAACAAAATTAAGTTCTCTGTATCTAAAAAACATCTAAATAATTTAAAACCAAACAAAGAGAGTAAAGTAATACTGATACTTATCAAACAAAAAGCAAAATAAAATAATATCTGAAGATGTTAAAAAAGAAATTTGTAACTCGGTTTTTGCTTAATGAGCAAACACACATACATCCACGTTACATCAGAGACGCATTAAAAAATGCGTTAAGGGCGCGTTGCCAAGACCCAAGTAGAACAAATATTAATTTCTTGGCATAAGCGGCCCACAAGCACATGGACATACTTTCTCAAAAAAAAGCAAGTACATATGTACATTACAAAATGTTTGTTAAGATTCAGGGGTTGATTCAAATAATACCCTGCAATTTTAGAAACGGTTGTCTCTTGACTATATTCAAGCTAAAAAAAAAAACGTTTCTATAACTAACTTTGATATTTTAAGATAGATCTTTGGGAGTTATTTTAAATGCTTGAATACTAAACCTAATTAGTATAATTACTATTTTAATTGCATTAAATTTAAAGCTTAAATATATAAAATAGCTCTTTCATTAAAATTGCTTTCCAGGAGTATTTTAGGTTCGACCCCAAATGCCACCCCAGTCTTCCTTTTGTTTTTGCCTTTTATTTTTTTGGTAAAAAGGACCCAAATTCTCCAGAGCAAAACGTTAAAAAATTAGCATCGGGCAGTGTTACTGCAAGCACATGTCGCTTTAGGTGTTGCCTTCCATCGTTTACCACCCCACCATAAATCCTACTGCTGAACATCTCGTGTTCTTACGCGCACTCACACTTTGCAATTGACATAAATTATTTAGACTCATTTAATGTACCGCTGCTGAAGCATCGCTTTTTACGATTTTCAATTTTTATTTTCCGTTTTTTTCCACCCTTCAAATGCTTTTTTTTTCTCTCTCGTGTTCATTTAGTTTGGGGTTTTTCCTTGGTAAAAGCAAAGAATTTTGTTGGAAAATTAAAATAATGTGTCCCCTGTCGCCGCCAGACGCGACTCTCGGGCTCGGCTATGATGTGGATGTTGTGGATTTTACGGGTGGAACATAAGTATCACAGCTCGCTGTATGAGTCTTTTCGCAAGCGATAGTGCCCAAGGAAATGTGTGCTTTGGATACTAAACACTTTTAAATTCGACCGAACTCTTTAAACTGTCCTTAATTCCCCTCTGGAAAGTCTTGAAATGTTAGCTGGCCAGTGGTCAAGCAAAATAACCCTTGACCCCTCCATCAATCTAAAGCTAATTACCGCTACTTGAATTGATAATGAGACTCATGTCATGTTTGCCCTATCACCCAACCCCTAATAACACGCTCGTTAATTCGTGTTCACACTGACCACACGGTAATCAACCTAGGGGACGAGGAGTAAAACAGGAAGTGACCATGCCTGGCAAACCCAATGTGAAGCGGTCAGCTCGGTCAACTGGTTTATGGCTGACCCGCTGACTTCTGAAGTGTTTGTCCTGCTTTATAGTTTAATTCTATTTGCCTTTTCGCTTTGGGCAGTGCATAAATTAGCATTATCCATGGAGGTAACTACATAAGGGGATTTTATAGCGGTCATTGGGCAATTACCAACGTAATTGATGGGTTAATTGCGTTGCTGGGCAGCGATCTGATTTGCAGCACAAAGGGGAAACCGAAAAACAGGCCTATGAAAGTCATACACCTTTTATTACGACTTGATCTTGTTTTTTAAGTAGAATGGGCCATGTAAATAAATATTTCTCCTTGTCCAGAATTTTGATATGTAGCACGCTAACAAGACGGTCCACAGCTGCTGCAGCATCCGCCCCCGCAGCAAGGTCCGCACGGTCCACTATAAAATCCGCATCGCGGCCCGAAACATCGGCCACTGAAGCAAGGACTACAGCAGGGGTAGTAGCAGGTTCCACAGCAAGGTCCGCAACACATGACGTTGCTCTGAGAGTTCTAAAATCCACAATACTTTAAAATGAATAGACAAATAGTTTTGATTTTTCTTACTTATACAACGAAGTTTTAAATACTTAAACAAGTAACAATAAATTTTGATGTTATCGTGTTGAAGGCCGGTGTAAGACTGAATATATGTATACCGTAGAACGGGTACACAAATTTGACAGCGGACAGAAACAGGATCCAGGCTAATGTGATCGAAATTTTATTTTAGAATGATTTTTAATAAGCAACTTTTGGTATGAGGTGTACATTTGTAAAGCATTTTCCGTTTTCCATCAGAAACCCATTTATGCCTAAAAACATATGCCTATGCAAACAAAAGGTTTCAACCTTTTCCATATTATTTGACCAAAAATGAGTTAGTTGTCATTAATTTCCAAATATGCCTAAACTTAATCACCAACCACCTCGCATACTGTTACACTTATGCAAATTGACGACATTACGAGTATTACCAAAAACCAAGGCACACTTTCGGATAATTAACAACGTCAAAAAGGTCCTCGCCTTAACTTCATTTCGTCCATTACCCTGAACTCATGTGGCAAATGTGAATGACCACCACTTGACCATTTAGCGTACCCGTACATGGCACGCGTCCTGCTGGCGCGAATATAATGCCAAGTCTAATGACCACTACGCACTTCCGCCTAGGCCCTTTGGAACTCAAGGACTCTCATGCGTATTTTCTGATCCTGGTTACTAATAAATATTCAAATTGCACGGACCGAGCACGGTCGCCAAAGTGTGTCGCATATTAAAAAGTCATTTTCCAAGCAAATGAGTTAACATTTTTCCTTTTGTTGGTTTTACCCAAGAAAAAACACCGACTAGGAGCTAGGAGCAACGAGAAACGGGACGGAAGCACATGCTGTTCGACATGAGCTTGGCCGGAACTGCCATACGTGCCGGAAATGCGTGATTTTTGCTATAGAAGTAGTAGCTCATAATCAGGTCGATATGTGAAAGCTTACTCTAATGTTCTCTATTTGAGAAAATTAAAATTAGCTAAAAACGCTAGGGCTAAAACGAATATTTAGAGATATCATCAAGAAAAAACGCATTTCAGGTCCCTAACACAATTAAATTAAATGAAAACAAATGGCTATATTACGCAAAATATATTTTGAAAGCAGATTGGTTAAATCATTATGTTGCCTTTTGTTTATGGTACGTATGATTTTGCAAACGTCAACTACAAATCCTTAAAGTTCATAAATATTCTAACAGTTTCCATCCTATCTCCCGTTTGCCGCGTCCGATTGTTGATGGCTGAGTTTTTTTGTGGATCGGCTTACGTCGCCGCCTGGTCCTGCCCACTGAATAAATGATTTTTAAAATTTGTATTCTGTTTTTTTTTCTTTGAACTGCCTGAGATGCGCTCAAGCTCTGCCAGCCTTTGTTTCACACATAGCTAGAGCTGTGGCTTTGAGAATCAGCTCTGAATCGATTCGTTATTTCTTTCGACTGGGAGCGTTGGTTGTGTTTGTTGTTCGGGCTTGTCATCTGGCTAAGCTCTAAAAATTAATGATGCGCAGCACATTCGAGAGTTCCCTGCTGTCATTGGCTGGGTTGGATATTCAAAATATATGTAAGTATGCAAAAAAAAAAACTAGAAACAAAATTCACATTCGCTACTATAAGCTGCGGCTTAGGTTCGCTTGCTCATTGATGAAAATTAATGAGTGTGCGTGTTGTGCTCCGTAAATATACCAAGGAATATTTTCGGAGATTCTGTAGTTGTTTCCTGCCCCGGGACCTAGCCCGGCCTGAGCTATCGCGCATTCGCTTCACAACGAGCTACAGACTCAGGACTAATTTGCATAATTACAGCCCGTAATTTTTTTCCTTTTTTACGCAGACAAAAGTATACACACGAATTGCTTGTGTGCGCCCTTCAGCAAAGGGACGCAATTTCCTTTTTTGTGTATGGCATTTTTTACTTGATATTTGTTTATTACGCAACCATACACACGCACTCACACACATTGCCTTGTAAAATTTTTGATTTCCGATGAACAATGTACCTTTATGCGTTCATGTAGGAAATACAGAAAATAGGGAGAGCATGACAAAATCCTTGACATTCGTATTCCCGTATTCACCATTAAAGTGGAAAATAATATTGGCTATACAAAACCTCCCGTCTTTTAGATTTGGCATACTTTTTGGATACTTTTTGTTTTAAATGTAGTATAAAAATAATCATTTAAATTGGTATTAACAAACCACAGTCGCACAAAAATCTCATTAACTTTGGCAATACCAGTTTTTCCGCTCTCAACTTTGGTGGGTATATACAAATGCAACCCTCAAAATGATTTTCTTTTTTTTGTTTTTTTGGGGTACATATACCGATTTTTAAACTAATTTCAAGACGCGCTCTTCTCCCATTTGGCTGGGTTTTCTCTCAATTCAAGGATGGAGTCGTCGGACTCGGGACAATCCGGATTGTGAGTTCATTCCACTCATTAGCATGTGCTTGGCGTAAGGAAAAAACGGCAAGGGAGGAGAGTCAGTTTTTCTTGTCTGCCTTCTTCCTTTAATTTTATCGATTTTCTTGGATGGCTCACACTGCTCTTTACCGTTACTAGCTAATGAGCTGCTCTTGTGTTCCGACTCGCTCGGGATCTTCTTGGCCCGGGCGTAATCATTCAACTTTACTGGCATCGCTGATTATAATCAGCATAATGTGTACTCTCTTACACTTCAATAGTTCACGCCACGGATCAGTGGAGCTCGGCTTGGCTCGTCCTGACCGGACCCCTCCCACTCCTGAGGCATCGACGCGTAGTGAGAGTGGAAAGACGCAGCATCCAGTCCAGGCCAACGATTCTCTGCCATCTTTCTTATAGGCTCTAATAACCGTAATCAGGTTAACGTTAACGTTCAGTTTACCTACTGATTTGCTGCCACTTGGCAGTCACTCCTATTCCTTCTATGGCCACGGTTTCTGCTTGGTGAATGTGTGAACATTCAGAGCCTAGTTTCTGAGGAGCCGTTTTAAGTTGTAGAATGCCCCGCAGGTACTAGTACAGAAGATTTTAGATACTCGATTTTAATCAAAATGGTGAGGCTTTCCAGTTAAGCCTCCGTTGTTCCGTTGACCAGCCAAAAGACCTTTCTCCCCCACGTTAGCTGTTTATATAATTATGATATTTGATTTAATGACGACTTGCTTCCGAAACAATCCAATCAAAAAATTTGATTGAAGTGGGCGTCGCCGAAACAAAACTGCCACAGTAACTTCTGCTGCCTGCCGGGCGTGAAACTATTTCAAAGGTCAGGCGGCTAAAAGACTTTCTTACACTTGCTAATGGTAAGCCAGCTCTGGGAATTGTTATAGCTGATTTACTGAAATGGCCCACACCAATAGTTTCCCTGAAAATTTATAACCACCTGATCAACCCACACACTCACATGGCAAGCCGATCTCTCGTTATAAAATTCTTAATTTGGAATCATTAGCAGGCAAGGCGGATAAGGTAGCGAGTGTGAAGCGTTGAGAAATACACAACCACAACCCAGTCTGGCGATATTGGCAATGAGCTTGGCTGAACACGAGTTTCCACTGTTCCTCGCCAAGAGCAAAATCAAGGCGGCAAAATTTAATACCCATATATCGTTACCGGGCTGCTACACAGCACACACGGCCTGGCCACAGAGATCTGGGATCCGATCGGAGGGCACCTCCTGCCTGCTTTTGATTTTTAAATTGAAAATAATAATTTTGCGCACTCAATTTTCAGCGATTTGTCAAAACATTGTTTATTGTCGACGCCAAGTCCCGATTCTCCAATACTGCAGTCTCCAGACTCCACATCGCCCTGCCGCTGAGCTCTGTACTCTCCGCTCCACTGCGGCGGCGCACTTTAAGTTAATTGAAATATTTCAACGATTTTCGCCCTGTGGTTTCTTCTACCTGCCGTCGTGTGTCCGTCTTCGGGATCAAAGGGGATTCCTCTCTGCATGCGGCTGCGATCAAAGAGCCTTTTGCATATTCCTCTCGGATTACTTCTCTGGCTGCCTTTTAATAGAATTCAACGCTTATTTCTATCGCATGCGATTTATTTCCTACCATTTTCGGTTCACGAGTCTCTGCCCCTCGCCATCGGTTGTGTGCGGAGTTCAATATTGATTTTTATTACCATTTGACCGCTAGGCGCCATATTGCTTTTAAATTGAGTGATTATTGGTCGTGGAAAAGCCAGCCAGTATTGATATGGGAAAATATAAAAGTTAAATATTGGAATTCGATTTATTAAAAGTCGGAGAAGAATCGTGAACAGCGTCTGATTAGCTTTGCTGAAAAGTGGGCAGCTTTGTTGTTAATAGATATCAGAAGATGATCAATCATTGTCGAGTATATGTAAGACAGGACATAAATGTGTATACAAATCGTAAATTAAATGTGATATTTTTATTTCCTTAATATTTTAAAACACTTGAAATGATTAACTGCTTCATAAGCTGCAAGCCAATGTCTGCAAAGCATCTTATCACTTACCCAGAGGCCTGCTGAGCACTTGGTGCGGTAATCCTGGGCCTTGTAGCCTACAAATTTGGGGCTTGCTCTCACAGACTGCACCTCATCATTCCAAAGCTCCCGAGTTCCAGCCCGATGTTATGCCACTGTCATCTGGCACAAACCACTCTTTCTGTGAGTATATAGCTGTCATACGCTATTTCCAGTGTGGCGTCCGGCTAAAAAATTGTATACAATGTCGGCCAGCATTCAGAAATCTGCCAACGCCCCAAAAGTTTCTGAGCCGTCGGAAGGCAGCGCGTAAATCTTTTGCATAATTCAGTGCCTGCTTTTTCTTGTGCCTCTCCAGACCCACTTGAGGGGTTCACTTCCACCTTTTAGCCCAGCGCTGCCTGTCACACCAACGGCTCGGCTCATACCACCCTTACGCATTGTCCCCCGCAGTCCTTGTTTGTGTCCATCCAGTCGAACTGGCGAAGAGCCCTCTGTCTGTACCCATTCTCTGGCAGCATCTTGCTGGGTGCCCGATGCAAAGCCTCGCTGTCCTTCATTCTCACCCAACCCACCCTCGGCCTCATCCTGGTCGCGTGCGTTTTATAGTTAAACATGCCACCCATTTAATAATCATCCCTCCACGTTCCAGTAATGTCGTAGCCACATGTAAATGATTTTTCCCCTCGCCT